CTCGCACCCGAAGCGAGAATCATACCCCTAGACCATCCGGCCAACAGCCGGATCTCCGCCCATTATTTCGCTGAGCATTCCATCGTTAGTTGGCAGTACTAATGGTTGTGAGTACTCTAGATCAGGTTGGCAGTGCGTTCGGACATGTGGATGGGCAATGCAAAACTTGGGCCGAAGCGAGATTCGAACCCGGGACCTCTCGCATCCGAAGCGAGAATCATACCCCTAGACCATCCGGCCAACAGCCGGTCTCCGCCCATTATTTCGCTGAGCATTCCATCGTTAGTTGGCAGTACTAATGGTTGTGAGTACTCTAGGTCAGGTTGGCTGTGCGTTCGGACATGTGGATGGGCAACGCAAAACTTGGGACGAACCCGGGAAATATTAGGTGTAAACATACAATGCGAGCCGTAATTTTTGCCCCAAAATCCGTTTCCGACGGATTAGTCCGTCGAAAACCGTCAGAATATCTAGGAATGGACAAAATCAGGTGTTCATACTACCATCGGAAGCTCTCGAGCTCACGATAAGGAATCTCTCTATAAATAATGTGTTTGAGCTCAAATTTTCGACGAAAAAATTGCTCTCATTCTGAAGATTTGGTACATTTTCATGTCCCAGAAAAGGAGTTTGAAACATTTTTCTGCAGGCCTAATTTGGTCGATCGACATAATAGACTGCGTTGTAGGATCGTTTCAATTGCTGGTTAGTGGTCTCCCAGAGAATTTGCCCTCATGAAGGTGGAAATTTGAGAAAAAAATTTTTCCTTCACGGGAGCCCATGTTCAGAGGCTTGTAACTTGTAAGCTAGCTTCGCCAATGGTGTGTGGAGTGCGTAATCTGTATCTGCGCAAGATTCTCCTTTTGATGGACTAGCGCCCCTTCGGGACACTAGAAATTGGGGTGATGCAGCCACTTGAGGTACGTGCAAAATTTCACACATTCGAAATGCTTAGAAAATTACCAAGTGAGCAAAAATAATCATTAGCTGAGCTCAAATACAAAATCCTCCCTAAAAATTGCGTATATTCTACATGTTTTGCCGCCTCGCCAACTCCGGCCTTCCAGTCCTCTAGTGGCCTTCCTAGCTGTGCTCACAATTTTTTAACCATGCATCTACATGTAAAGCTATTTTCCGATGCAGTGATACTACCTACTCTTTTACATGCGGACCCGTTATGAACAGCCACCCCCAACTCTGCACAGGAGTATCTTCCACATGGCTTTAGTACTGGTGAACAATACAGTGTAATCAATGCCGTGCAAATAATCACCTGAAGTGATTTTGCTTCAATATACAGGGAAGAAGAAGAGGTGGTCGACTGAGACACGAATTAGCGCATAGAGTGCCCCTACTCCATGGGCAGACATGCATCTTGGCGTTTTCCCCACTATCGGGCCGCTGCGGACCCATACTCCATCCGCGGACGCGAATCCTGGCGTTCTTCCCACTTCTGGGCCTGGGCAGACCCGATCCATTGGTTTACCCGCACCCTAGCGCTTTCCCCACTACTGAGCCAGGGCAGACCCAGTCCCCATCCGTGGACTCGTTCTCTGGCATTTCCCCCTTAATGGCCCCTTACGGACCCAATCTCCACCCGTGGACCCGTATTCTGGTGTTTTCCTTAACATTGGGCCTCGGCCGACCTTTTCTCGATCGGTGGACAGCTATCGTGATGTTTTTCTGAATGGGCCCCGGCGCATCTGTCCGTCATCAGTGCACCCACACTCTATTACATTCTCGAGAGTAATGGAAGAAAGGAAATATTTAGGTTTCGTCACAACAGCTTATGAAGAAGACGCGTCCCTTGTTCGTCCATTCTGTG